GTAAAGCTTAGGGCCAGTAAAGCTTAGGGCCAGTAAAGCTTAGGGTCAGTAAAGCTTAGGGCCAGTAAAGCTTAGGGCCACTAAAGCTTAGGGTCGGTAAAGCTTAGGACCAGTAAAAGGGCGAGTAAAGCTTAGGGCCAGTAAAGCTTAGGGCCAGTAAACATTAGGGCCAGTAAAGCTTAGGGTCATTAAAGCTTAAGGCCAGTAAAGCTTAGGACCAGGAAAAGAGAGAGTAAAGCTTAGGGCCAGTAAAGCTTAGGGCCAGTAAAGCTTAGGGTCATCAAAGCTTAGGGCCAGTAAAGCTTAGGGTCATTAAAGCTTAAGGCCAGTAAAGCTTAGGGCCAGTAAAGCTTAGGGTCATTAAAGCTTAGGGTCATTAAAGCTTAAGGCCAGTAAAGCTTAGGGCCAGTAAAGCTTAGGACCAGTAAAGCTTAGGGCCAGTAAAGCTTAGGGCCAGTAAAGCTTAGGGTCAGTAAAGCTTAGGACCAGTAAGGCTTAGGGCCAGTAAAGCTTAGGACCAGTAAAGCTTAGGGCCAATAAAGCTTAGGACCAGGAAAGTTTAGGGCCAGTAAAGCTTAGGGCCAGTAAAGCTTAGGGTCAGTAAAGCTTAGGGCCAGTAAAGCTTAGGGTCAGTAAAGCTTAGGGCCAGTAAAGCTTAGGGCCAGTAAAGCTTAGGACCAGTAAAAGGGCGAGTAAAGCTTAGAGTCAGTAAATCTTGGGGCCAGTAAAGCTTATGGTCAGTAAAGCTTAGGGTCAGTAAAGCTTAGGGTCAGTAAAGCTTAGGGACAGTAAAGATTAGGTTCAGTAAAGATTAGGTTCAGTAAAGCTTAGGACCAGTAAAGCTAGGACCAGTAAAGCTTAGACTCAGTAAATCTTAGGGCCAGTAAAGCTTAGGGTCAGTAAAGCTTAGGGCCAGTTAAGCTTAGGACCAGTAAAGCTTAGGGCCAGTTAAGTTTAGGACCAGTAAAGCTTAGGGCCAGTAAAGCTTAGGACCAGTAAAGCTTAGGGTCAGTAAAGCTTAGGGTCAGTAAAGCTTAGGGTCAGTAAAGCTTAAGGCCAGTAAAACTTAGGGCCAGTAAAGCTTAGGACCAGTAAAAGGGCGAGTAAAGCTTAGAGTCAGTAAAGCTTAGGGCCAGTAAAGCTTAGGACCAGTAAAGCTTAGGGTCAGTAAAGATTAGGTTCAGTAAAGATTTGGTTCAGTAAAGCTTAGAGTCAGTAAAGCTTAGGGCCAGTTAAGCTTAGGACCAGTAAAGCTTAGGGCCAGTAAAGAGGGCCAGTAAAGCTTATGGCCAGTTAAGCTTAGAACCAGTAAAGCTTAGGGCCAGTAAAGAGGGCCAGTAAAGCTTAGGGCCAGTAAAGCTTAGGACCAGTAAAAGGGCCAGTAAAGCTTTGAATTTGGTGGCAAGGTGTACTCACGATGTTCGGATGGGAGAGACGCAGCAGGACGCCGATTTCAGTGCGAACGATCTTTTTGTCGATCTGTAACATGAGAGACAGAAGAAACGTTGCTGTACGTTCTGGCACAGGAAAGAAAATGTGAGTCAAAACATTATGACCAGACTTCATATCTACACACATTTTGAACCAATGTTATTGTTGATAAGAAGTCATGTGACCAATAGGTAAAGGAGTCTTTGGGTGACTTGTTTCTTCTACATCTGTTTGATCTTTGAGAGCCTGCCATTTTTAATTTACTAGTTGTGACGTTTT